ATATTTTATAACAAAGCATACATGTAGATCACTTGCCAGATAGCACGGTCAAATGAAGAGTTATTTCCCTTTAATTGTGCTCATAGATAAAACATTAAGAGTTATCTTTCTTAATCAATAATATGTACAAAGTATGAACACTCTGGAATATATAGATAAAACAATGAGATCAAATTATACTGAACTCTTCCAGAATAATATAATTATATAGACAATATTCAAAATATATATACATCATACCTATATGTGATATAGAGCCATAACTCCAATATATATATATATATATAGCTGAACACAGCTGTACTCTATTCAGTGATCTGTGTATGAATAATATAAATATAACTTTACTATATTACACACTTATTGTCACAGATATAAAATATACTTATTACTCTGAATATTTACAAAGTCATAAAATAATCACACAAACTGAACTTTCATACTTTATATTAGAATATTATTATTTGGGAATTTACCAGATAAACAATTATATAGAAATAATGAAATCAGTAAAAGTAAACTTACATTCTGTCCTGTCTTGGTCATTGTCATAAATAAATCATCATATCAAAAGCCAATATGTCTACTCAGACCAAGATCTCCAACAAAAAGTAATTAACTAAGTAAAAACCAAAAGAGAGGGAAACTAACCAACCAATGAAATCCAAGTTGGCCTGGACACTACACAAGATATATATAGAAAAGGGACAGGGGTTTAAATGACCACTGTGATGTCATACATCTATAAATAACTAAATAAACACAGATTGATGTAAATAATTCCATGTGGATTTATTCAATAAATGAAATGCTGTAAAGAAATAAATATGACAATTTAACTGAATTAATGTAATCCTGAAATATAATAATTAATATATGAAATAAATCACCCTATCACAATAATATACACATTACACTTTGAAAGTATCTCGGGAAAAGACAGTCCTAAACTTTTTTTTATTAAAGTTAAAGTCATATATGGCGTATTTAACTAAAATTAAAAAGATCTTTCTATTTGTTTTATTACTTTATATAAAGATAGGACTTTCCTGTAACTTACACAATTAAAATCAATCACGTTTCACAGGTATTAGAAATTTAATACAATATCCGATTTATTTAACGACTCCGCATTTAATTAACAGACACAGTTTAAAATCAATTTAACTATGGAAACATTCAAGTTCAAAATCGGTGAAAATTTTTATTTGAACGTAAAAAAAAAAAATATATCACGTTTATCTTCACTCAATCTCGTATTTTTATTTATTTTAGTTTTAGCTCAGATACGCCATATATAGCTTTAAAGTTTGTAAATTCATAGCTACTTGCTCTATTTTTATTGATTTTCTAAATCTTTTGTCTCAGAATTAGAGTATTGAACCAATTAAATGAATGTCATTTGACATACTTGCAACTATAGAAATATAATACTCGTCCTCAAACCATATTGCATAGTTTGATCTTGATCTTGACTTGAAAAGGTATATCTATAAATAGAAACAGGTGATTTCCTTTTAAATTCTTGAGTCGGCCGTGTCGTCGGAGAGGCAGCTATGGCTCTTTCAGGACCTTCTTAATATCTGCTTTTGAATACTAGTGGGACGAGTTAGTTTTAACGAAATAATTTCCTAGATGATAAATCACTAGAAATTAATGTATGTTTTCAGGTTTCATTTATATAAATTTTTTTTTTTAATATGGAATGGTTGTATAAAGTGTGGACAAGCCATATGTTCTGATTTGGCTGACTTTAGAATGATGTTTTTGAAATTAAAATTTGCTAAAAAATTCTTTTAGCATCCAGATTTAGGTAATACCGCTTCTGGAATAAGTTTCTGCACAATAATGCTGAAGTTTTTCCTGTAAATAAAGTGATTAAGTGACACAGTTGGTATGATTGCGTTTAAAATCCTGTCACAAAACCGTGTTTTGTTTCTTACCAAAGACATAGCAATCCTCATAAAATAATAAAACCTTAGACCCCTCGAGAAAAAAAGGAGTAAAGTTAAATGCAGTCAACAACTCTAGCTGCATATAAAATTAAAACAAAGTTTGAGAATTCGCAGAACACTGTTTATTTTAAAAAAAATAAGTATTGATTAGATTTTAAAACAGGTTTCATCCAAAAAGGACGTGGTTGTTCAAGTTTCTTCTGGTGTTGCATGTAATTGTATGAGGTCTCCGTCTGATAATGAATATTCATGCAGTCTTTATTTCCCTGCATGCTCTAGTGTTTTGTATGGTAATACGTGTTTTAGAATGAAATATATGGAGATAATGAACAGTGTTCAAGCTCAAAAGTCCATTAAACAATACAAATTTTGGAGCAGAGCAAACACAGACCTCTAAAACATCAGAGGTGGGATCAGGTGCCATGAAGGAGTGAGCATCCCCTGCCGACCGGTAACACCCGCCGTGTGCTCCTTGTCATGATCGGGTAATAACTAAAAAAAACACGACAATTCAGTATGTAAATAATGGCCCAACAATTATATTGAATATTAATGGGCACCCAATTGAAGTTGTCGATAAGTTTGTTTATCTGGGTGTGTTACTAAATTTCAATGGTAATTACAACAGTACACAAAAGCAACTAGCATACCAAGGAAGGAAGGCCATGTTTGCATTAAATTCAAAAGTAAAAAGTATGTGTATTAATACAGAAACCCTTTTGTCACTTTTTGACACCTATGTAACAAGTATTTTAAACTATGGTTGTGAGGTTTGGGGTAGTCATAATGCTAGTGATGTAGAAAAAGTACAGTTGGAATTTATAAAATCTGTTTTAGGCGTAAGGAAAAACACAAACTCTGCTTCAGTGTATTTGGAAACTGGTAGGCTACCTATGAAAATTACTCGACTGTATAGAATGTTCAAATTCTGGTTCAAGGTTTTATCTAGTGAAAATTGTATAATAAAAAACTGCTATGATGAACTATATGATAACTGTGACAGAATGAAAAACAGTAAGAAAAATTGGGCCTTTTGTATTAAAGAAAAATTGTATGAAATTGGGTTAGGATATATGTGGTGTGAACAAGATAGAGCTTGTTATAGAATTTTTTTCCCAATTATAAAACAAAGATTGAATGACATATGTGTTCAAAACCTTATGGAAGAAATCAATTATTCATCAAAATGTAACATTTACAAACATATAATAGACAATTTTTCTTTACAGTATTATCTTTGTAAGCCCATACCTTCTATGTACAAAAAGCAAATTGGTCGAATTAGGCTTTCATCTCATAACCTTGAAATTGAGTCAGGACGACATAATAAAATACCTAGGGAGAGTAGAATGTGCAGAATGTGTAAAAGTGAAATAGAGGATGAATACCATTTTGTTTTAATTTGTCCATATTTTGAAAAGCTCCGTAAAAAATATATCAATTGTATTACTGGCAAAAACCGTCTGTTTTTAAATTTGTACAATTATTAGGTACACGCAATGTCCATGATCTTTGTAACTTAGGGAAATATATTCATTTTGCTTTTAAATTGAGAGAAAGCATTCTCTCATATGGTAATTCTCCATGAAATCATGATTGTTATATTGTATAATGTTTTTGTAATCAATAAGGACCGCTATACAATGCCATTTTGTAATATTTTGTATTATATATTGAAATGCGATAAGATGTATGTCTTAAGCAATAAATAAATAATAATAAATAAGTATGAAAAACGTCAGTCAGCATTTGACTTAATGATAAATTGTATTTGCTGACAAGGTCATTGTATCGATCATAGAACTTACGAAATGATGACTTTAAACGAGACTGTTGATATTCTCGTTTCATTGACTTGTTTGTCAATAACTTGCCTCGTTTCAGAAATTGGTCATACGTAGAGCATGCTCTTGCGTATCTAATAAACTGAGAGATATAAACCCCGTATGCAGGTGATAAGTGTATATTGCTACATAAATAAGGGAAGTTGACGATTGAAAAGTTAAAGTCATCACGTTTATCATAAAGCTTTGTTGTTAGATTACCATTAACGTCTTTCTCTAGTAAAATATCCAAATATGAAACAGATGTGTCAGACTCTGTGGTATCTTTTATTTCAAGCTCACCGGAACATATCGTGTCGACATAAGAATGGAAATAACTATTGTTATAGTGATAGTGACCATGATATTATTTACTCAGTATTTAAGATTCTCATTTATTGAGACCAGTGATGTTTCTCTTTTTTCAATTTGTTTTCTTTTCAATCGTAGTTATTCTAATAATATCATGTCTAAATACTGTGTAAAACTGATTATCTGATTACTACAAGGTAAAATAGAAGAACTTAGTGGTAGCTCCTAACAAATATGCCAAATTCTTGCTCTTAAAAAATACACTTCGTGAGTAGGAACAAAGTTAAAAGATATCATTTATTGAAATTTAATTGGAGTATATCTATTTATAAAATATTTTTCTTAAGATTTTTTTTGGGACTATTCTAATTACCTGATATTTGCCTTGGATCTTTTTCTTAAGAAAGAAAATGTTAAAAACAGAACCAACGTCCAATTTTATAATAATAATGACGAATCTTCTTCAAAGAAATTTACTCAGATGAATGACTTCTTTTTCAATGCTTTATATCCGATTAAAATTCATTATGAAATAGTTGTATGAGAACATTGATTCATAAGACATGCTTTTTTTTTTAAAAAAGATATTTTATAATAGTTATTAGTCACCAAAACATAAGCCATTTAGTTTAGCACCGATTGAATTAATGGCGATTTTTAACCGACAATTTTGCCACATTAGTCTAAAGACACTGTATAAATAATATGTGCACTGCATGAGACATTTATTGGAAAAAATACTATTATACCCTTATATGTGTATTTCTGTTGTTCCTTACGCAGTAGGACTTTAAACATAGTCTCCACTTTGGCAAGGTCTATTTATATATCACGCTGAATAATTATATATGTAGTCCTCAAATACCATAATTGTTTTGAGAGAGTATCATTATACTTTACTATTTATCAGGTACCAAGAGGAGAAAAAAGACTTCGAATCAAGAATGAAAGAGCTTGAAAACCATCTGAAAAAGAAATACGAAAGGTAAAAGATATTATGAAAATTAAAAATTCTAGAAGAAATATGAAATATATTGAAATGAAAAAGGAAATGATAACGAACGTGATCGACCTAAAAAAAATTTCAAAGAAAAAAAAATGGGACCTGTGCAAAAAACCGGATACCGGGCAATTTCAGAGGTGGGATCATATGCCTAGGAGGAGTAAGCATCCCCTGTCGTTCGATCACATCCGCCGTGAGCCCTATGCATTGCTCAGATAGACTTAATATTCCGTTGTCAAATGTATTATTAAAAGGATGGCCTAACAATTGATATAAAAACATATCGTTCAAAATACAATCCATTGATAGGTTGTATTTGCAAACAAGGTCAATATATATAATGACAGAATAATAGGTTGGGAGATGTACACACAATATGCAGGAGAAGGGGAATATTACTACATTTATAAAGAAAGTTGACGCTGAAAAGTGGTCGTCTTGTTTGTTATAGATTTTGGTTGTTAGTTGGCCATTATGCCTATAGTCAGTAAAATATCCAAATATGAAACAGATGTGGCAGACTCTGTGGTGTCTTTTATTTCAAGTTCACTGTGATATATATCGAGTCAACATATGAATGAAAATAAGTTAAATAACTATTGTTAATTGATGAAATGACGCCGATATATCTTAGTGTCGAGTTGAAAATTACAGTAAGAGTTTTCTTCTTCTCATATAGAAGTTTCTGAATAAATTCTGCTTCATAGGAATACAAAAATAGGTCTGCTAATAACGAGGCGCAATCATTGGCCATCACAATTTCTCCAATATCACATAGATATTGTTAATGAGGTTCCCAGCATCTGTTTTTTTTTCTATAATCACCTGCATAGTACTTGTGTGTAAAATCAGAATGATTTTCAAGAAAGAAACTTTGTAGATGACCAATCACAAGATATGAAAATTTCCGAGTTCCATTTTCATTAAAGAAGCAGTTATTTATGATATCAAAAAACCTTATCCTTAATTTATAGTGGGGAATATTGCAGAGAGGTATTTTATAGTTAATTATTACTTATTGTTTCTGATTAACTGCTTGAAGTGCAATACAAGAAAAAGAGGACACAGAAAATACTCTTCGGAAGGACCTAAATAAACTAAAGAAAGAAATCCAAAGGGTAGGAAGTTTAAGTTCCGGTGGAAAGACCTCCAAAAGACCACGGTACAGGACGGAGTCTGACGTGTACGATATAGGAGAACTGATGTCGACTTTGGACATCGTGGCAAAGGACTTACATAGTCAGCAAGACAGAAACAAGTAAGCACTTCTTTTTTATAAGAATAAAAATTTGACTGTGTGACTCAGAAAAGGTTCTGGTCTAGAAAAGACGTTTTAGAAATGCCACCTTGCTATTAATTAAGATATTATAAAGCTTTATGTCACAAGAAATAATCATATGGACAGATCAAACTTGAATACCTAATTTGTGGAACAATTATCAAAATCAGTCAGAATATAAAGTTATGCAATATTATTTTTTTGAACTCAACTATGCCATTGTCATTGAATCATCATATGATATGTAACATTTTGACGTTTGCTGGGTGTTGACGTTTAATATTTTTCTAATCAAAATACTTGTAGTAAATAATGAAATTTACTTCTCAGACCTGAGTGAACGATTTTCTGAGTAGAGATGTAAAGATTTTTTTATATTGGATTCCTATTGAATTGCACAATACAATTGCATCAAATGCAGATCCAACTCTATAAATAATTTTAGAGGAATTGAAGAAGATTCCGCCGTCTGGAAGAGTAATTATTTAGAACTGGAGAAGGAGATAAATAGATTTTGTCATGATATCTCCCCTTCTCCTCGGAACAATTCAAAGAATACGAGCACTCCCCGACCTGGCTCGAATTCAGTGGTAGCCTTACAAGCCCTGTTAGAGGAAACTAGAACAAAAGTCCTCAGCCGACTGCAGAAAATGGAAGAAAAAGACAGGTGAGAAGTCGTTCATTTCCTGTAATTAAAGTTGTGTGTGGTGTTGGTTACTTCAACTTTAAACAAGTAAAACATCTTTTTGATTTTTTTATTTACATTTTATACAAGTATGGCTTTTACCATAATATCTATTTTCTTTTCTCTGTAAACTTTGAAGAAAATGAGAATTATAGAATTTTTTTAAATAATTCTTACTTTTTGAATCTTGACATACTTCATACTGCTAAAAAAACAAGTGGTGTTCGTCTCCAACAACTTATCATTCATTCAAGAATACTGTGAATAGCATAGATATTGCATTCTTTTATTGATGTTTTTTTAAGCTTTTACTGTTTAAGCACATTGCATAGACTAACCTTTTCTTTATGGTAAAGGGATCTTTCTTTAGTTGAATTTCCACCGTTTCTGTCTGTTCCCAGGACTTTACACGAACAAGACCAACAGATCAGCAGACTTCGTGAGTCCAGTACTCTGCTGAATCAGTTGGTTAGTGAGATCGAAGCTTCCTTCAAAGAACTTCCATCAAACACACACCATAGTGAAAGCACATTATCTTTACGAAGCAGCTCCAATCTTAGATCTATAGAAATGTTAAAACACATAAGACTGTACATTAACGAATCTCTTAGGTAAAACTAGTATATTTATTTTTTTTATTAAGTTTTTGCTTTTTCTTATTTCTTCTTCATAAATAATCTTAATAATTATTTTATGAAAGTTTTTCTTCTTGTATACTTTTGATATATTTTGTTAAGGTTTGTTTCTTTTCTCCAATTTTGCTGATAGAGTTTTGGTAGCAACACACTTTATTTTACAAATTGTAGTGCAACAAAGGGAAAAGATAAAACCCTCCAGGAAGTAGAGAACGATTTAGCGGCTCTGGAAAGTCGCATCATGAATCTGGACACAGGTGTTACGCCCACTTACACTGAAGACAATATACATGGAGACACGCCCACTCCCACTCGACAGCTGTCAATAGTCAGTCAAAGTCATGAGGGCGTGTCTGAGTCATGTAGCAAGCTGCTTAAAAAACTTGATGTTGTACAAATAGGATTTGTACAGATTCAGACCCAGAATAAACAAATGGTCAAGTTAGTTTGATAACTCTAATTACTAATTATGAAGCAATTTGTTTGTTTGGAAAAGTGTATTTCTATAGAAAACTAGATACACTCAGAATAGATGTTGGCATGATATCATTTAGAGCAGATGGTACATATCAATTAAAGAAAAAAAGATTAAATTAGAGGATATTTACGTTCCCGTAATAGTAAGAGAATTGGTTTTATTTTCCAGTAGAAGTTTCTATTCTAGTGAAATATTTCTGAAAAACATTACATTTTAGTGAAATAAACTCCCTGAGGAAAATATCAGACTTGTTAGCTAAGACCAAACAAGACTTGGAGGGGATATGTAAAGTACTGGACGTTTCTCTGAGGGAGGTGGATACATCCAATATCTCTCACGTGGTACGGGTCTGTAAACTAGGGGCGGAGGGAAAAGTGAAGGAGGTGGACATCAAAGAGGGGTAAGTTAGACTCTCTAGGTATGGGGAGGGATAGTAGACACTGTATTGTGAGATTGTGGCGATTGTGTAGAAAAAGTGTGAATAACTACATATGCTTGTACAGAGTAAAGATAGTCACGACTACCTTAAGAGAAATGATTACCACTGTGTGTGTACAAGGGGGAGAGAGAAACATGGCGGTCTGCATACATAAGGAGAAATTCAAGTCTACAAAATTGCAAGGACGTCACAACTGTGTACATTCGAAGTTGTATATCAATACCTATTCATGCGTATGCTGTCTGGAACAGCTAGCTAAACCTCACACCTCATACTTGATCATTGAAGAACACATGGTAACTGGTTCCATATTTATTAACAAGCGAATTCATATTCCAATCAGTGAATGAGCGAATGAGCCTAGGTGAGTGAGACAAAGTGAGCCTATGTGAGTGAGCCTAAGTGAGCGAGTGAGTCTACACGAGCGAGTAAGCGAATGAGCGAGTGAGCGAATGAGGTAAATAACTGAAATAAACAAAATCAAATACTATAATACTGATATACCAAAAAGACAATAACGGTGTTCCATAGAAATAGCTCACTTATAAACCTTATCATAATAACAAATTACTATAAAGCATATTAGATAAATTGAATAACAATAACTAATTCTCGTGACTTCAGTGACTTTAAACTTTACAAAAAATACCGGTCTGAATAAGTTTTCAATACACAAAAACTCTATAAATAATCAGCAAAAAACTTTACAAATAATAGGTATGAAGTTACAAAAGTTTCCTATAAAAACTTACATGGTAATAGGCCACAAATCGTAAGAAGGTAGAATGTTACATGTACATCCTCATGGATGGAACTCTAATGGCAGACTGAATGAAAACTTGCACGAGAAAATGAGGGAGATAACTCCTGACACAAAAGATTTCCACTCAAGGAAGATAATTCAAAAATTTACAAAGAAGGATAACTCTTTCTGATATCTGAATAATACACATATTTCACTCCGTATAATTACACAAAAAAGCAAACAAAAATAAATAAAAAATAAGAACTGTGACAGCACAATGCGACTGTCTAGACCTGCAGGTCTCAAGACCATAAACTGAGAATAGACTAAGTCAACATTTCAAATTTGTATAATTTTTTAAATAATTTTGAAAATGAAACAAAATTTTCACCATATGCTTAAATTTAATATTATACAAACCTGTAATTTTTTAAGCATGTTTGTTAAATTAATTTGAGGATATTCAGAATCTAAATTTTGACTTAAGTCTGTTCTCAGTTTATGGTCTTGGAGCCTGGTATAAAAAAGATAAGACAGTGAGATAGTTACGATGAAATATGGAGATAACAAGCAGTATTCAAGCTCAAAGCCCATTAAAAAATACAAATCGGGAGCAGAGCAAACACGGACCTCCAAAAACAGAGGTGGGATCAGGTGCCATGGAGGAGTTAGCATCCCCTGCCGACCGGTCACATCCGCCGTATGCTCTTTGTCATGATCTGTGAATAACGGAAAAATCCGTCGACAAATCAATGTGTAATAATGGCCTAACAATTACTATGAAAAACATCAGTCAGCATATTTAATGATAGATTGTATTTGCTGACAAGGTCATTGTATCGACCCTAGAACTTACGAAATGATGACTTTAAACGAGACTGTTGATATTCTTGTTTCATCAACTTGTTTGTCAATAACTTACCTCGTTTTAGAAATTGTTCATACGTAGAGCATGGTCTTGCGTATCTAATCAACTGAGAGATATACACCCCATATGCAGGTGATAAAGGTATATTGCTGCATAAGTAAGGGAAGTTGACGATAGTTGAAGTCATCACGTTTATCATAAAGCTTGGTTGTTTAATTATCATTAACGTCTTTTTCTAGTAAAATATCCAAATATGAATCAGATGTGTCAGACTCTGTGGTATCTTTTATTTCAAACTCACTGGTATACGGTATATCGTGTATATAAATGGAAATAACTATTGTTAATTGATAACACGCCGTAGATATATCTAACTGTCGAGTTGAAGGCCACAGCAAGAGATTCCTTCTTCTCATGTATAAGATTTTGAATAAATTCTGCTTCATATGTTTACAAAAATAGGTCTGCTAACAACGGGGCGCAATTGGTACCCATGGGAATTCCAACAGATTGTTGGAAGACCTGGTCTGTAAGTGTCTAAATATGGTATAAATTAGTTATGAGTGTTTAGATATGTTTAAAATGGTAGCTAGTCAAGGACTTGAAGGACGAGATGAGAGATGTTCCAAGTAAATGAATTTAAATTTGCACTATTTCAATATGGTTTATATGAAAATGTGTATTTTAAAAAATCCGATCCCTGTTAGTTTTAACTCTGTGTGATATTGATTACTATGCAGAATCAGTTTCCAGTATTTGGTTAGTTCCAAATTGTTCTAACAAGGTCTTTGAATGATAGTTCTCGATGACGTAACGGTATATGGATCCATTCAATCTAAATATTATTAATCAGCCCGTATCAACGTCTTCTGGGTGATTGCCTGGTTCAGATGGCATTAAGACAAATTAATCTCATTGCTGTCCATATCTCAATGTCTGATCACAATATCGTAGTAGTATATCTAATAAAATAACCTCTTAGTACTTACGTCAGGCAGACTCAAGTTGCAAGATTGCCTATATGATCAGCAGTAATTTGTTGATAATCGTGTAAACATTAGAAATGTATAATCTAGCTGAGTTATTTCTCTTGTTATGCATTATTGGTTTTTAGGATAATTCAGAGGACGAGATCGGACTTGGACAGACTCAGAGAAGATATACACAACTTATGGGAATATGTCAGCGACGACAACTCTGACACCACAGGGGGAGACAAGTCTGACAGAACTTCCTCTCGATCTAGTAACCCCAAACAATCTACTTCAGTCAAGGCCACGCCCTCACGACCCTCCACCAAGGAGGAAATGGACCAGATTCTCAGACAGTTTAATAAACTTAAGGGAGAAAATTCTACCTTATATGCGTGCGTATAAATACCATTATTCCTATTTTGTTTAAAACCAATTCGAGATTTTTTTTTCTTTTCTTTCTTGATAAATTTTGTCCCTATTCATATTTTTATGAAGTTTTACTCTTTTCTTAAAATAATTTTGTCCCTTTTTGTATTTTTATGAAGTCTTTGCAATTTTAATTTAAAGGACATTGCAAGAAAAAGATGGTACTGTGATTAACGCAGAGAGCAAACTGAAAGTAGAAAGAACACATCTTGCTCAACAGGTCAAGGACAGAGACGAGAAGCTGGCGCAAACTCTCATAGAGTGCGAGAGGTCCGTGTTCCATCTCAGACGATTCACATAATTTTCTCAAAAATGAAATGAAAAAAAGTTAAATAGGTCAACTGCTTACAATAAAGGTTTTTTTTTCAATAAATGAAATAAACTTATTGACAAAAACGGCAATGCTGTTTAAATATACCCAGTATTGATTTACAGTGTGGACTGGGTTGTTTTATTTTGCCTTTAATTATTTTTTTATAAGTTTGAAAACGGAACTCAATAAGGCAGTTTCTGAGAAAGAGAAAGCGGAAGAAAATGCAGAAAAAGAAAGGACAAGTTTACACAAACTCAAAGACCAGCTAGTAGAATTAGAGGAAGAATTCACAAAGGTCAAGGACACATATGAAGCGCGAGTGGATGACCTTCAAAAGAAACTCCGAGAGTCTGCAGAGGAAACTGATAAACTCTCCAAAGACAACCAGAATTTAGTGACCAGGTACTTGCCAAATGATTTACGTCTCTTTCTCTATAAAGTTTGTGTAAAATAAATATGTATGGATACATTCATTGCATTCCAGAGGATGTATCGTTTCTTAGGTCAGCATTATCTGACTGCATATAGAACGCTCATTAGCTTAATGAAGTACTGCGGTTCACCTCTGTCTTGTCGGATAAATATTGTGATTGTTTGTCTGGGATGTGTTTGTTTTGCATTCTGTCCAAAGCTTTAGTTAGGCAAGAATGTACTTTTTATGCAATTACGGCTAATGATGACAAATTAATGTTCTTATGTTGTGTAGACTGAGTTCCGTGGCCAGCGCTCAGCTTACGGACGGAAATCCCTCTATAGCCGACCTAAGCGATATTAACAGACCCACGAAGATTGCCGAGAAATTCTCAGAACTTTACGACAATGAATGGACGGACGCATTCGAGGCGCTGACGGGTCAATATCATATGAGCGAGAAAGAAGCCATAGACTGTCTGCTGAGGATTCTTAAGGTTTCTGGGAAAATATTTCTGATTCCTAAAAATTACACGTAAAAATTATCAATAATACAAATCTACATAGGATTAAGGTATCAATTATAAAAATGTTTACAATAAAAAGGTGACATGATTAGGTTTTCAAATAAAATTACATAGAGATCATGCAGTTATTTCAAGTGCACAAACTTTAATATTTAGTAACAATCAACATAACCTTTGTATATTGTCAAACTAAGCATTTGCAGTTATCGGTATTCAGTAATCAATTTTATAACTAAGTAATTGAATAGGTACATTCTATGTATCAGTAAATACATTTTCTTTAGGACTGTTACAACTTTGGTAAAGTTGCCGCCAGTGGTCAGTTATCCGAGCTTCACAAAGTTCTCTTGATGCTCCACACGACCGGCAGAACCAGAGAAACGGTTTGTGGCATTTTATCTCAAAGGTTAAAAATTTCCTTTTTATTGTATGGCTCCTGTTGACAATATGGCTACCCAAGAGAATCAAAATAATGCTCAAAAGGCGAGGGGAATACTGTAACCTAGGGATACCAAAGTTACTGCATTCATATAATCAATCTAATGGAATACCACAGGGGAAAAAAACATGGCAATATGAATTGAGGACAATTCATTAAGTACCCCTCGCCATTCTTTTGAAATTATTTCTTGTCTGATCCGATTATAAAAAGTAAAGATTCTTTTTATTGACTTTGATATTTTATAATCTATACCAGCCAATAGATAGTTATTTTACATTCAATTCGGATTTTAGCCAATCAGAGCAAACACTAATATACATATGTATATTTATATGGTATTTAGCAGAAAAATCGTGATTGGGAATACAATTACCTATAAAGATGATGTTTAACACTTTTTTTTCTTTTAGCTTGTATTGTCTAGTATTAAAAAACTCTCGAAAGATGAAATAAAAGCGGTTAAAGATCTAAGAAAGGCCTGTGCTGTCCATGCAACCAAAGCTGTTCTAAAGGTATGAACACTAGCGGGATAAACATTTACTTAAATAAATCACACATTATATCTTTAGGTGAGTATCTTACTCTTGTGTATCAGTTAAAAATCCACCTTTCTGGACAATAGTTGAACAATAAGTCAGGCCTAAGAGAAAAATATCTTTGTTTACTATTACATGCGAATAAAAAAAATAGGGTCAGTAGGATTTTGTTTTTATTTATTTTATTTATACATGTATATTCATTTATTGATTTTTTTTAATGCGTAACTTTGATTTTTTTTCTCAGTTATTATTATTTTTTTTAATGTAAAGGCATAAGATTTTTTTCTTAATTATTCTTTTTTAATGTAAAGGCATAACTTTGAAATACATTCTTTTAAAAGACAGTTTAAAGCTTTATTTTTCTGGCCATAATTTTTACCCACCAGAGAGCTCTTAATATCTTGATGGCTACTAAAAGTGATCTTATGACCTTTCAAGGAAAACGAACAGACATATACAATTTCCGGAGTCTACAAAGATAAAATATATTTGGGTCGGCGCATGAAATTAGGGTTGATCGGGATACAATAAACAATCATTTTTTTTCTTAGGCCTTATAATTCTGCAGTATAAATGTTTAATCAATTTACAGATTTCAGAGGAAATCTGCAAATTCATCAAGCACAAAAATTTATGAATATTAAATCAATATAAATGTATATATTTCAGTAACACATAAAGTACAATATCTCTGTAACGATATTCATTATTCAAATTTAGGCGGGAAACAATACTCATTAAGAAGAGTAGACTAGCGCCATAACTGATTTGATTCCATTTCAGTTGTTTAATGACACACCTGATGGACGGACCGTTCTCAGTGATTCCCAACAGTCGTCCTGTTCAAGCTTCATCTCCAGGGCCGTGGAGCTGTGCTGGCTCATGAATGTCCAGGACCCGCCTCTCGCGGTCACGTGGTCTGTCAAGCCTGGCGAGAGCTGTGACAACTCGCGGTATAAACAGTTCACACACTCCGGTCAGTTTGTCGAGTTCCTTGTTTGGCCTCCACTGTACTTGTTCAAGGACGGGCACCTGCTCAGTAAGGGCGTGGTTCAGTGTATATGATGATGGCTTTGTATGGGTTTTTTTTTCTGGAGATGTCATTCACGATTATAACAATTTGCCAAATGTTGATGTATATCTATATACTTTGTTCTGTTATTTGTTCTGTGAAATATTAAATATAGATTTTTTAAAAAAAAAATTCATTTCCTTGATAGAAACGGGTATAAAATCGCCAATTAATTGAAGCCCGTGTCAAAACGATGTAGTGAAATAGGGTCAAAAACAAAGACCACCATGGTACATTTTGCAAATAAGTTTATTCCAATTTTGGATCCAGAGGACATAACGGTAAAGACTTCCACATGATGTAGATACTGCATCGGTATTCCTACATGGAATACAGTTCTGTTAAAAAAAGGATTGTCATTAGAGCCAAAGCTTAAGTCACAAGAAGAAATCGATTTACGGGATATGATATTACAGGGATTTATTAGACATTAACTCGCGCAGATACCCCCTTAGGTTTGATGGCAATTAATTTCAAGTTCATTAGATACAGCGACTAAATTTTCAAAAGGATTTTCATACAAAAACCTTTGAATTAACTTAAAAAGATATTCTAATTATTTTTGCATCGCAATGACTGAGTATTAAAATACCTTTTAATACAAGATACATTATATATATATTCCTTAATATAACGTCTTTCTTAGTAATTATGATATCCCTATGATTCTGAATATTCTTGATTCAAGAAGCAAGATTTGCTGTCATTCAAATCAATCATTATAATTCCTCTAGTGTTCTAACCAAACGGCAGTCTTACTTCAGTTAGATGTATAGGAATCTTTTCTGAATCTTACTTCAGTTAGATGTATAGGAATCTTTTCTGAATCTTACATCAGTTAGATGTATAGGATTCTTTTCTGCTGAATCTTACTTCAGTTACATCTAAAAGAAAAGGTTCTTATACAACTAACTTAAGTAAGATTCAGCAGAAAAAGATATCATGATATTGATTTTTTAAAAAACAAATTGTTTTTTTTTTCAATAAATTAATCTAAGTCGTTGATTAAAATTAAACCTTTGACATTTAATCCCGTATTCTGGAATCGCCAGACTTGATCCCCTGGGGAGCCATCTTCTCGGGTTTCGTTTCAGACATAAACTCGGTGTAATAGCGATATAATTCAGTGCTCAGCCATTAATGCTCCTTTCATTATATAATAATGGAGTCTAAAATGTGAGTAATAGAGACTATTCATCAGATCCACTTCACTGGATAGTTCCTTTGAAATCAAATGAAATTCATTTCAGTTATAAAGCATCTTTTTTATCATTTCATGAAAACGACGTGCATGTACCATAAGTCCCGCAGCAACTGTCCAAAATAGTGATGTCTTTAAATTTATGAGTTCTGATATACGATTTTAACAATTGAATTATCAATATAAGACGTGGGTGTTTGAAAATTAAATCGGTTTTCCATACTTGGCGTCTCGCGACAGTATAATTATTTGAACTATAAACTGACAATAACTCTACAATAAAAATGTCCAGACTGAAAGGGATAAAATTGAAACCAACTCAAGGTTAACATCTTTCTATTGGATTTTTTTAATTGTCTACATTGGATTGTACCAGACCTATCTGAAGATTTACCCTAGATTGATCTTACAGCCATCTTACTTGTTCTTGTTTGTGTGGTATCGCTGTTTCTGTTCGTTAATGATTCTATGAGACGGTCGTGCAATGATTTTACAAAGAACCATTAATGTCACATGTACATGTATTAGCTTTGTACAATGACATTATTTAATGGAATTCTTCTTCTTCTTTTTTTCTAAATAAGTCATTATTGTTTCTGATGTTAAATGTATTGATAAAATGAGCAGTAGAAATCATTATGTCTGTCTACATAATTTTTAATTTTTGCCTATTTTATCCATAAAATTGAGCAGATATGCTGTTCCCCATCGGTATCAGTAGGTACAAACAATTAATGTATTCTGTGTATGGTGTATTGAAGTTAGCAGTGGGAGAAATCTCGTGACAGTTACTGAATCCTCAGAAGATTGTCGTCGTCTCCATACCTAATTATAGGGGAGGAATGTAGTACACGAAGCTAGAATTGTAGACTTGGGACCAGATAAATCCAACCAAAGAGCTGAAATATAGGGATTTTTATTCCTTCCAGAGATGTCTATTCATTAGATGTATGAGTTATCACGGACTGTATGAAGACAAAAGCCGGTCGATATGTGATTCCTTATAGTAGATTAGGGACATGCAATACTCTACAATTATAAAGCTGTTTACTTTTTGAAGAATTCCACGAGGTTTGAACTTGTTTGTTAAATATAAGATGATACACTTTCATGTTGTCAAATTGAATTCCGCGAGGTTACTAGCATAAACAGTGTGATGATACATTTTTAAGTTGTCAAAATAAATTTACTGATTGTTAGAAATAATTTGAATAGGGGACTGATTGTCATGGACTAAATCTAGGAAAGAAAAAAAAAACTTCATTTTTAATATAAGCTGATCATAGTTACACCTTTTTCCCTTCCTTTATGCGAAATGTAGAATTATGGTTTAGTGATTTTAACATTTATTTGAAATGAATCACAACTCTTAAAAAAGCATGATGATTGCCTTTTCTAGACCCATAAACCTTATCGCTTAACCTAATTCTCGCAACTATGCTGAAAGCCATTTTCTGATTGAATCATTTGCCACTCCAATATTGAATATTGACAAATGTTACTTTGGGTATAATCTGTTAATAACCATTATCTGTCACAAAATCAAATAAAGGATATGACATATTCTTTTAAATATATAGTAATGTTGATGTTGGAGATGATACTTATTAATGTTAGGGCGTGGCTTGGTCAACAACCTTACACACTCCTCACTATATCATTAGTGTCACGTTTCCGATAATAAAGGTAGCAATGCTACCAAAGACCTTTGCAACACACAGCTTTCACTGTCATCTTAGGGGGAGGAGGTGGCACAAAAGAGTGTAAGGGGGAGGGGGGTAAGAAGTGAGAGGGAGAGAAGGAAGAAAAGTACCACAAGTTATTATGTCTATCCATTCATATGACTTAATTTGATGTAAAAATGCAATGCATCGCCAGCATTACATTTACATTGTACTTCATCAAGAAACTCCAAGGCCAATAACGTCGAGATTTTTGCTAATAAGTCTCTTTTTTGATCAGTACTGTATAAATACCTTACAGAAAAACATCTTGCAGGTAAAAGAGTGTAGACTGTAGGAACAAAGGAGTGACGTCACAACAGAGTTTACTATCACCCATGTTAGTCTTTTCAATCTGGTGAGCTACAGAAGATAAGTCAGTTTTGGAAAAATAAAGCAAGGTCGCCATCTTTTTATAACACAATCAGAAGCGGTGACTGAGAGAAGAGCATAGTTTTGCTGGCCATGTAAAAGTACTCATATGTTGTATTTTTCGATGTAATACATGTAACGTGATAAAGATATAATGATAGAGAAATGGAATCTCATCTGTGAAGAGGAATATGTGTCATAAAATGATCATAGTAATTATAGTAGTTTCCTGTTCTGTAAGACACTAATCGTATGATGATATATGGGGCAACATGTAGGTCCTGTTGTATAAATATCTATTTTAAGAGTATATGTGCAAGAAATTTTGATAAATGTAATATCAATCAATAGTTTTATTATGAAAGACATGTGCTTAAATTCCTATGGGTTGGTTTATTAACACTGAATAACAAAAATTTGACTTGAAAGTGTTTGTCATAATGGTGTCTCCATTTGTGAGATGCTTTGGCAAGAGGGTGAGTTACTAACACACTTTTGGGTTTGTGGAATAAGAAGGCCCAAATGGCACGCTTCCTCCACACTCAGTTGCTTGACCTTCGTGGGGCGGATCACGGGGGCGTGGTTACAACAAGTATACCCAGGATCCTCTGTCTTGCTTTTCCGCAGAGGAGAACGAGAACGAGTCCATTTCTCACTAGTTATACGATAAATCAAAGGGTCATCCGAAGAGGAGCTACTGTCAGAGTCTCTCCGCTCGCCTTTTACATAATGACCACCTCTTTTGTCTGTATTCTGTATTTTGATGATAGGAGTGATATGCATGGGGAAGTTGTTGGAGTTGATTTTTGAGACAGGAGTTTTTGGTTCGGAAGACACGCTTGGATGATTTGCTGCCCGTAGTGGCGGTATTCTCTTTACAGGACTTCTTGGCTCTGATGAAAGACTGTGATGTTTCGTATTAACCAAAAGAGGACGTTTGGGACGAGTTTTAGCTTTAGCAAGTCTCTCGTAAGGAACATTCAAGTCATCAGAATCAAACATAGGAATACTTCTATTAAGATTCAATGCATTTTGAGAGTGAGCACAGTTTGATATTTGCCTATTAAACATACAGTTCGGGTTCGGACAACAGACTTTCCGACATTTACCTTCCTCTAACAGATCGGTTGTGGGAGGACATATTGTGTCGGATTTGACTTTAACAATAATACCTCCCGGTTGAAGGAGCTCATGTTGTTTATGTACCCACTCAGCAGTGCAATCATCTGTGTCCATAAACACGATAGGTAAAGCGTCCTGTGACTCGTCCGTAATTGTCACCTGGGGAACTTTAAAGGCATCGTCTGCAGAATTCTGGGTGACATCACCAAGCATGTAATCCCTGTGTGTGTATGAATGTAGAGAATCACGATTTTCACTTTCACTTAAAAAACTTTTAATTCCCACACTTTGGAGTTTATCGTCTGCTTCGGCAATGAGTGCTTCCTCGTTCTCTTCTTTGTCGCCTGTCAGAGAACTGTCATTTTTCCAAGATCTAATCTTTTCTTTTACAAATTTAATCAAAGGTTTCCGAATCTTTGTCCTGTAAAATACATACATAAGGATGAACAGAAGTAAACCCCCGAGGATTGCCGCAGTGTTATAGCCTAGGGTAGGATCGTAAGAGTTGTAAAATAGAGCTTCCGCTGTTCGGTACTCCTCTTCCTGACTTGGTGTGATTTGAGCAGTTGAGTATTTGATTGGGTTGACAGTGTTCTCATCAATTACCTCATACATCAATGTCGCGTTGGATCGCCTTTCTCGTGCTTCTGTAGTAATATCATCTTCTAGCATGTCGTCATGGATCTATAAAGAGAAATGAAAAAGACATTCCCATTTTATAGATTTAATAGTTCATGTATGTATTTTATCCTATCATTACACAGAGTGGAAGCCATAATAGAAAGTACAAACTCCTTATAAATTTATATTGATTTTAAGACAATTATGTCTTCATAGTTCTCTTATGGAATTTTCCCAGATACATTTATGTACAGTCTTATAAAGTCAATATATATAATGATATACTTTATAAGTTGATAAATGTCAACAAACAGTGGTTGTCTTTGCTGGCAAAAATTGTCTCCAGAATATTTATACTTGCTTATAAATAATTAACTCTTCTATCACATCCAGCAAAATTATTTTACTGGAAATCGGAACATTTTACTGGTAGTTATCAGAATATTCAGTGGTACTTGTAATCCTACAGTATATTCCTTAATCTTAAATTTCGGAACCCCTTTGTGTCCTATGTCTTCTTTGATACGGGGACTATGTTTTCAAAGAATTGAATTGACACTGCATAAAACTGCTCTTACTCTAATTGGACGTTTTCCTTCTTTGGAGAAGATTTTGTTTTTATCATACTTGTTTATATTCTTTTATTTTTTATTACAGCAATGGTGCCATGATGTTTGAATCTACACTTTATGACAAAGGCTAAATAGAATATCATTTCTGTCCCTCTGGTTCCGATTACGATTTGTAAAAGACCTCAATCAATGTTGCTATTTTCTAATTATCTTCTTCTTGAAAGGGGTGAAACCCTTCATTTCTACAATTTTCAATCTCCTTTGTCTAAGAGAACTTTAAGACAAGGTTGGTTATTTCGTGGTTTATGAGAAGTTAAAAAATGCGAAATCATGAAGAGACAGACGGACTCTCATCAGAACGGGACAATGAGTGACCAGACCAGGTGAGCTAAAACTCTTGCACATTCAACGTAATAGTATATCAAAATTCTGTTTAAACCTACATGATAAAACCTGAAATCTTACTTCTCAAATATTGTAGAAATCTGATGTCTAACTTTATCTCCCCAAAATGACAGTGAGTTAAAAATCTCATTTCAAACATATTATATGATTTGAAATATGACAATACAATTATCTTGAATCTAATATGTCATCAATTCATCTAAAATTTTACTTTACATCTCGAACACAGAAACTGAAGTCTTCAACCTGTATATAAAGGATAACGAGATTGTCAATATCAATTCTCATCTGCAATATTACAAGATCTAAAATTTCACATAACAATTGCGATATTACGTATATCTTAAAACTCATATGATACCTCCAAAATGACAATAACAAAACTCGCACCTTAAACACTGAAATCTCATATCCAACTCGAACATGACGTGATCAACCTTAAATTACATCTGCAACATGACAACATGAAATCCTCAAGAGAACAAGAGCTGAGATCTTATAGGCCATTCCAAGTTTTTTCTCTGTTTAGCGTCCACCCATCTTTCAAAAACCTACCTACCTGTTCGAAAAAAAACACACAAGTCAAAAAATAAAAACACAGACTTTAAAGTCATACAAATTACATTGTCAAAGGATATAATTTCATTAAGATTGTTTTCCTGTACACAGATTTATTCTTTTTGCAAAATTAAAGTATAAATTGCTTAAAATATACCTAATACGACATATTGTAGATAAATATGTAGATAAATGGACAGAATTCAAAGATTTCAACCAGAATAATCAATTTCATGACTCCTGATTTTGTTTGTTTTTTTCTGATATGGGGGGGGGGGGTCAAAAACCAAGGCGCACGCGGACGCTAAACATAGAAAAAAAACTTGGAATGGCCTTGCACAAAAAAACCCCGAAATCTCACACTGGATCTCCAAATTGACAAGATCTAAAACATTTAGGCAACACTAGATTACAAACCTTTATTAAATGTGCAACCTCAATACGGTCTAAAATCTGCAACATTAAAGATTTAAAATCTCACAAAATATTTTCAACGTTAAATAAATCATTAATATCATATAATGTTTCCAAGACGTAGGTCTCTCAAATCTCACATCAGAATCTCAATGATACCTTCAACATTAGTGGGACTAAAATTTCACTATACATCAACACATCAGATAGGAAGTCTCGCCTAATATTTACATCACAGAAACTGAAACAATGCATCCACAACATGACGAAATCAGAAACATTAAATCTCCAACAAAAGGGATACAAAAATCTCATATTACATCAGCAACATGGCATAATAACATCTTCAACAATACAAGGTCTAAAAATCTTGCATTACATCTAACCAAAAGAAATAAAAATTCACATTAATCTATGTGAATCTCACATTTCCAGAGTAACAAAGATCTCAAATCTCATTTGACGGCTTCAATGTGATAAAAACTTATTTTTTCATATATCACATTACTTATACAAGAAAAAGAACCGAGATGTCAAGTGACATCTCTACACCATACACAAAGAACAGAATTCTCGCATCTCAATTAAGGTCTGCGACAAGAACAGAATTTCAACAAAGAGCTTTAATTCAAAACTACAGGTAATCTTCAACAGGAATGGATGAAAACTGAAATCTCACGTGACATCTCACACAGGTCTGAAATATCACGTGACATCTCACAAAGGTCTGAATCTCACGTTACATCTCACATAGGTCTGAAATCTCACGTTACATCTCACAAAGGTCTGAAATCTCACGTTACATCTCACATAGGTCTGAAATCTCACGTTACATATCACATGGGTCTGAAATCTCACGTTACATCTCACATAGGTCTGAAATCTCACGTTACATCTCACAAAGGTCTGAAATCTCACGTTACATCTCACATAGGTCTGAAATCTCACATGACATCTCAAACTTAACAAACATCTGAAATATCACATGACATCCCAAACTTAACAAACATCTGAAATGTCACATTTTGTCTCCAAAAGATTGGGATTTAAAAAAAATACTTTATAAGATTTACTGGAATTAAAATCGCTGTGAAAAATGTGGGGTAGAAAAGCGAAATTTTCTTCATAGAGGAGCTTTTTGTTTAAATGAAAAATATATTTGTTGGGATGAGGAAGCAGTTTTTAAACTTACAAGTCAAGATTTCAAACATGTTGTTTTACACATTACTGTCTTCATAATTAGTAGCTGACAACCTAAATTAGAAAAAAAAATTGCTGTTAAAAATGGAGACAGATCTACATTGTTTTTAAAGTAAGAGGAGTTCACTAGGATAATCGTTACTCGTCCAGCTGTGAACTGTGCCTGGTGTCTAAAAAAGTTAATGCAATATACGTAATAAAACGGAAGAAGTGGTATAGAACGTGCCAAGTCATGAATTAGTTAACGGATTTTCACCGCACAGAAATGATTAAAGTTATTAAAAGTTAATTGTTATTTTTTTTAATTACAGAAAACAAAGATGTTAAGTGAAATGTAATATAATTATGTCACTTTCTTACATTACACTGTAAATGTCATCACACTATAATAAATAATTCAGTTCTTTCGTCCTTGAATTCGACTATTACCAGACCCCAGTACCAAATAGACTACATTTATTACTAAATGTGGAAAATTGCTGTTGATGAAAAGAAATCAAATACTCGTGTTTTTTTTTTCCTCAGGTAATTTAAATGAAACATTACAATTCTGTATTAATAATGAATACTAGCTCTTATGAGTTTAACATCATGTGATCACCTATGTTTTAATTTTTTTCCTGTAGGTTCATATTCTACTGCGTGCAAATAACGTGATAAGGAACTACTTCTGTGGTGCAGCTACTGTCGAAAAATGCTACGAGTCCGTAGTAAAATTACGGTTATACGGTTAATATGTTAATTTGAAAGTATATGGTCAGCTTGACGATCCTTTATCATTTGAATTAAACCCATTACATTACATGGAAGCTATAGTAAAAACTCCCTTCACGGCAGTCACGTGTTGTTGTTGATTAATCATTTTAAGTGATTTGATTTTCTGCAGTGGCAATGAATGATCATGAATGGTACTCCAATAGAACATGTTACGTAATTTCCAGTCAGAGGCATGTCTATGTTGTTCTCACGCGGCAATATTATACGCACTGGTGGTTGCCGTAACTCAACGCACTCAAATGTTCAAAGCAAGCCTATGTTTGAAAAAATAAATTTGGAATTGTTTACGTAGATATTGAATTTATTTTTTTAATACTAAAAATATAGTTTTTCATGGTAGCAAGGGAATTCTTGATACTTTTGTCGCCCACATTTAGACAAATAATAAGACTCTTTAATTAGTATATATGTATTGAATTAAATTTTTTTTGCAATGTATACTGCTTATTCGTAAGTTCAGAAACACATTGAGGTAAAATTATACAAACAAATTCCATGTACAGAGAGGGATTAGTGAAACAGACAACATATATGAAAATACCAGTGTATTTTGAATAGATTAGCAATAGGTAAGTAGCCATTGCGCACAAAACATTATACAATACAGCGGAGGGAGGAATCAAAGAAATAACCATCATGTTCTCAATACTGTTCAGACCAACCAAAGGATTAGTGGAATAATGTAAAAGCATCTCCACAGATTATCCTCCGAGGTTGAGTTTGTGATGTACTGAGTTTTTATCTGGTGAAATTTTGCTGACTAGCACCCCACCCCAAATAGGCTTACCCCTGGCTGTACTGGGGAGATAAGGGATCACTCAGACTACGATAAGATCAGGCCGAGGGATAACCATCAAATAATTAGATTAACTTCGTAATGTAGAAATCTCCACAAGACTTCTAATACATAAACTCATTAACGTACTTCATAAATCACGGAAGATTTTCCTCTCTTGATCAATTCGTACTCGGACATATATTTATTTGATGTTTTCAAATATTTTAGTAATGGATACAAACAATCATCTTGATTGTTTATTTCCAAACATAAAACACTACAATCGAGAAATCCCAATATTTACAGATCCATGGAAGCGGGTGTCGTAAGCAGACCGCTTTCGTCGTTAATCGCATCATTAAAAAAGAGGTTTAACTTTCAAGTACGATGTAAATTTATTAGAACATTCACCTTCATAATGCGTCACAGGACTGAGACTGAATGGTGTTTTATCGATTGTCCCTCGGCAAAAAGAAGATAATTCAGAGGAGATTGGATATATACGCGCAATAGTGAGTTCTAGAATGAACATTCACGTGCTCGATTTGATTTCCGGATGGTACATAAAATAATTTTAACATCGTATATCGCATGAAATAAAACGATGTTGACTAATATATTAAACAAGTTTATCATACAAAAGACTTTGGTTATTACGACCAATTTATTTGAAACCTCTATTTGAAACACATTGATTATCTAATGTGGAAATAATTCGCTAAGACTGGAGTGAATTTCCACGTTTTACAGGTATCCCTGGTGTCAGCTGCAAACGAAGTTTCCCGCCAAAGAAGCATTATAAGAAGGAAAGAATTCGTAATTAAACACTGGAGCATGTATCAACACAAACAAGAGAGGAGTGTATATAAACATTTGTTAACCCCTCTCTCCGTCTCTTGTCTACTAAGGACCATCTATTACATCACAAAAGCCCACCATATAAATAAAGACATCTGTAACGCATGATAATCAAATCAACAGCAATTTCCTCCTTACTTTCTAATCACTTCACACATTAATCATCAAATAAATATTAAACTTAAGGAAAATATCTTCTTCTTTTTTTTTTCTAAGACTCGGTCATTGATTTTGTTTCCATAAATAAGAAGTTATTTCAAGACTTTTTTTTCTATCCTCTAATAGGGTCAATCATCCAAAAAGACTTAAAGCATCTATTAAGTCCAAACTCTTATACAGTTATCAAAAGTCGATCATTTTGTCTGCATCTGATGTCCTTAGTTCTATTTTTGTTGCTGCACACACGGTCATTTTCCCATATAGAATGTCATCAAGCATACTGCAATATAAACACCAAATCCTTCTAGGGGTTTTTTCCCGCTACTGAACTGCTTTCTTTGAATGTGGCCGTATATTTAGTCCGAAAAAAAAGAAATGATCGTAAAAAATTCTCTTTTATCAAATAAAAATCAGCAACCTGCTAAGAAGTGCATCTAATGCTGCACATGTGTCGCTCGAAATCCTTCTGGATACGGAATTAATTTTTAGTTCGATTGTCCAAAAAGCCAAAAAAAAAACTGTAATTACGTTCTCGGTTTAAAAAATAAACCACAGTTCTTTGCGTCTTTAACTACGGATATATACGGTCCACAAGGCGTTTTTGGGTTAATTATTTTGTTATTCCATTTTGGTGCGTCACAATCACACTGACTTCTGTCTCTAAGTAATAGCATTCTTAATTTTCATTATTCTGTTTCAATATTTCATGTATCCCTATAAACTTTTAAAGATTCAAGGTATCTTATTTTCAAGAATTGAGAGCAAGTTTTCTTAATAAAATCAAATTTTAAGTAAGTTTAAAACACTTACCATTGACCTTCTGATCTCACAAGATTATGAGCTGTGAGTGAGGTTTCTAAGACATTACCCCGTCTTAAATCATGCTTGTAACAATCGCGCGTGTTTGCAGTGCAGAGGTAACCTGGGGCTTATGTGATTGGGCAATATGACGGTTTATTACCAACTGCTGAGCTTCTACCAGTAGCTGAACATTAAGAGCAATAGAGAGTTAATATTAATCACAGAATGTAGGAATATTCATTTTGTATATCACTATTCTAAATGCCCATCCTCAGATACTACAGAACATGACTTTGAATATAGATACAGTTAATACGATACTCACAGACTAAATTACTTTTAGATAGTAAATGTTACAGAAATTGTAATTTTAAATGATTTTCTCTCTATCTTTTGAAAGCGCGGGTAAATAAAAGCAATTGGTCATTTATCTGATTATAGGAAGGCCGCTGCAGCTCTCCGAGAAATAGCTTCACAGATACAACTCAGGATCACTGTATACCAGACGATGTTGTAGTTTCTGAGATTGTACCTGTCGTAGTTATGCATTTCTTAAATTTATTTCCCTTACTTTTGGAATTCTATTACCAGAGCACACAGAAGTAAGACAGAGGATGTATTGTGATACATGTATAACTCTTCGATTCTCCTCTTATTTTATTTTCCTTCATCACATTTTATAGGATTTTTTTGGCAGTGTTTTTAAAAACTGAAGCAAAAAAGTGTTGACTCTTTCCTAAAGTATTTCCCCCTTGTTTTGCATCATAAGAACACACTTAAAGTGAACTTGTATCTTTCACTCCCTTAAATCAGAAAGTATCAGAGTGCAGCGGAGAGGAGGAAAAGTTCAGTTCCTCAAAGTACACACCTGCTGTATGGATAAGATGTGTACCATAGGATGCAAACAAACCTTAAAACACGTTACTTTACTTTATAGACCTTGTTTGTCATAAGTACCAGGGAGAGAAAACAATAAACACTTTGGCGCTTCATAATAATCCGCAATAATTCGGCAAAATGATGATACGAAACAAATGCCTCCGTAGCGCCCCCTCCAGGCGAGAGAAGTCCCGGCGATGACGCACGAGAAGTTAATTGTCTGTCGGAGAGGGCACACACTAAGGCCGGCCATATCATGTCAAGCCACACAACCTATAAACCTAACAGCGGAAATTGGAAAAAAGAACAACCTGCAAGTTTCATTTTTATAAAGTTATGATTCATTGCTCTTCTCGGAAAACCACACTCCTAAATAGCCATGGGGATCGCAACAGCACGTTGTGCAAATGTTGCAATGATTTATATTTCTTAGAAAACAAAAATACTGTACCTGTCAATAATTGTTAATATGATATTTGTGTACTTTGACTGATCTAGATCTATTACTTAGTTAAATTGCCCTGACAACAAACATGTAATTCTAGGAAGTTTAAATCAACTTTTTATCTTTTAATTTTAAGATGAAAAAAGTTCATCTTCATAACCTGTTATATTGCTTAAGTCCCACGTGATTTGCAACGTTCATCATGAGAAGAAACTGAAATCTCCATTTTTATGAATATTTATCTTTTTATAGTTGTCTAATATATAATATTAAATCTGTAGCCCTATATATTGTGCACACACTATCATAATGCGTAACACGAACATCAAATTAAATTGGAAACGTCACATCGATTGGGTTCTGAACATAACTATAGACAATCAATGAGGGATTTATTCCTGATCTCAATTCGTCATTGAATAACTTCCCTTTTTATTTACCAACTTCAAGCTTGTAAACAACATGTTATACACTTTGAGTTGACGTTCATGAGGACAATCATGTTTATATCCATAAAATAAATTATATTAATTCAAATGACTTATTGAGTTTCTTATTTTGCAAAATCTCGTTGGCATTTATTGTAGGTAATCTTAAATCAATTATTATGTTCCTCAGTCTAATGAAGTTTCTTAATTGTAAATACGTTAATTACACGACTGTTTTCCCATAGTGCAACTTGGTCCCCCCCCCCTCCCCCGAAAAAAGAGAAATGATCAAGAGATATGCACATGTCTGTATTGTACACAGCTATAAAAAGAAATGATCTAAGATTGTAGACTTGCAGAACTCAGTACCATCTCTACTGTGACATTATGTGCGAACTATATCACAGTATTATTTCTTAACAATAAGCATCTTTAATACATATTTCGAATATTTATGCAAATCAATATGAGTAGTTTATTATGACAGAAAACAAATTGTCTTACTTACCTGCTGATATTAACAGTCCCGTAAAATGAAAGTTCATCAAACGACATAATTATCTACTCGCCGTGACATTAGATTCTAGTATTAAAGGGTACGTACAGGTTTCACGACTGCGTTCAAAAGGTGAGATAAAAATTAATAATGGTTACCAAGCAACACATATATATGACTGATGCAGTCATCGTCTCTCTTGATCAAAATCCATGGCAACGTTATTGGAATTTCGGTCCAAACCCCGTATTTACCTGGTAATTATAATGATACAGGCGAGTTCCGTTCAAACGCCCAGAACAAGCAGTATCCTGCAGAATGTCACGTTATAAAAACTTCTGTGATAAAACAATCAATATTTCTCGTTATATCCGTGTATTTCAAGTCTCCTTGATATAAATCTAATCCTTTGTCTGAGAAATCTCTAACTCTACTACAACCTTCTCTTTATTACAATCAACATCCCCCGTATCTTCCCCCGTCAACTGATAATGGCCGAGTTACGGGTGTATTGGAAATGTGGACGGAACGCTTTTCTCGATGTCACTGTAATAAATACGGAGCTCGCTAATAAGCAGTGATTAGGTGAAAACACAAGAATGACAAAATAGGCGAATTATAACAGCTGTCACACGACACAGATCCAGGGCCAAGTTCGGAATCCACGCTCCTTCCTTGTCGCTTTGATTTACTGATGCTAATCATTTTCATTCCAAACATAATCACAGTGATTAACATGTACCGGAAAAGAACATTTTCGAAAGAGAAAACTCGAAACCAAGCTTTTATGGGATTTACTTCAGAAAAGTTATGGTATTAATCTTTGTATTACATCTCTTAACATATTATATGCATTGATTATATAGACAGGATGATTTGATTTATGTGACCGTTACTTAACGATTATAAAACTAGCACCGGAACAGAATGAAGAAAACTTACGAGAATTGATCATGAAAAGCAATCATATTATCACAACGGTCAGAGATAGTACTTAACGCTAAAGTACTGCGCCGTGACCGGAATCGCCGGAGATCTCTACAGCAAGAATTCCTATGGATGACTTGCAGAAAATGAATTCAATGAATTTTTTTAAAGGGGGGGGGGGTTCTGCCTAAATGAAGATAGGGTATTGATGTATTAAACTTGTTTATTATACATGTGCATGTAGTAGATCTTTTGAATATGATTGAACTAAGCATATCAATATATTAAATTTTGCAGGTTCTTAAATCGATTAATCGGGAGTTTAAGTCGAGTAAAATACACATGATTCCTAACACATCATTGATTTATATGAATTATACCTTATAACTGATGTATTACAATTAATTTTGTTCTTTTTTTAATGATATTCATACAGTGCATTATAACCAAACGATTCTTATTCTTAATACTCATTTATTATCATAATCTTTTGAATTAAATCAATGATAAACCATTGCTCATACCATTGATATATCAAATCATTACTTTCATTGTTTTCTCAAGCATACATAATCACTGATGATTATATAAAATCATTGTTAACCTTTGATATTAGCGTTGCTAATCATTGATATATCGAACCATTGTATACATGTACCATTGATATACCAAATCATTGCTAAACATTGGTATATCAAAACATTGTTAACCATTGATATATATATATATCAAACCATTGTTGACCATTGATATATCAAGGCATTGTTTGCCATTGATATATTAAAATATTGCAAATCATTTATTTATCAAACTATTATTTCTCATTGATTTATCGCTATTCATTGACATAACGAACCGTTATTAACCATTGCTATATCAAATCAATGTTAACAATTTATATATCAAAGCATGCTAACTATTAATTTATCGAAGCATTGTTAACCGCTGATATATCAATGCATTGCTTTGAAATTGAAATATTGAACGATTCTATAATCAATGCATTGCTAACCATTGATATATTGAACCATTCTAAATCATTAAATATTGATATATCAAACCATTGCTAACCATTGATATATCAAAGCAAAGCCAACCGATGATATATCAAACAGTTGTTAACAATTAATATATCAAAGCATTGCTAACCATTGATATATCAAAACATTGTTAACCATTGATATATCAAAGCAAAGCCAACCAATGATATATGAAACAGTTGTTAACAATTAATATATCAAAACATTGCTAACCATTGATATAGCAAAGCATTGCTAACCATTGTTATATCTAGCCATCTTTATCCACTGACATATCAAACCATACGATAAGTTAGAGTGATACGTGCACTGTTTGTTACATCTCAACTTTTCTTTCTGTTCCAGTAAACCCTATTAAGAAAGCATATATATGGTATAGTCGGTGTTTAGGACACTCTCAAGAAGATGTTCCGAATCCGCTACCGCTTCTCAAACATCTAACCACATCCCATTCGGGGTCACGTCAGAGCGACCTTTCGATTACCCAATGAAATCGCCGTCTCCGAAATCTTGGCTTATAGTTCGGATGCGTTTCTTTTTTTTTACTGCCAAACCTAAACGCCCGAGGTGTTTCGTAGTAAACAAGATATGCATGGTAAAGACCGTGCTATATATGCATGTGACGTGCGGGATATATGGACGTATAGTTTGTGCATTTTCATTTGCGTTATTCAGGTAAGAATGCCAGATTGGCGGACTATACGTTCAATTTATACCAAAATTACTTTAATTCAAAGTAAGACAGTCTACTGAGCATCAATAATGTTAAGATGTAGTCGTGGAAATAATTTTTTAATCGTATACAGAAGCTTGAATCTGATTGGCCAAAATTTTTATGTTTATTCATAATCGAAAGGTCGCTCTGACGTGACCCCGAATTAGATGTTGTTAGATGTTTGAGAAGCGGTAGCGGATTCGGAACATCTAATTTTAATTAAATTAAAGAGTAACCAATCCGAGCTTTAAGCAGTATCTTGCATTCTCAAGTATGATGCTTCTCTTGATGCTGTATTTGACCTACATCTTATCCTCCATTGACTGCTGTATTTGACCTACATCTTATCCTCCACTGATTGCTGTATTTGACCTACATCTTATCCTCCACTGATTGCTGTATTTGACCTACATGTTATCCTCCAATGACTGTTGTATTTGACCTACATCTTATCCTCCACTGACTGCTGTATTTGACCTACATCTTATCCTCCACTGATTGCTGCATTTGACCTACATCTTATCCTCCACTGACTGCTCTATTTGACCTACATCTTATCCTCCATTGACTGCTGCATTTGACCCACATCTTTTCCTCCACTGACTCAGGAAAATCACCATTTAGGTCTGTTCCAAGATAAGTGCAAGTGGTTTCAAATAATAAAAGCTGTTATGCTGTATGCTTCAGTTGCTGCTTTGACCCACAATTTGTATTCGATTGACTCATTGTGGGTCAGCAGTTAAGCTTATTCATTTATAAATATATGATTTTTCTTAAAATCTTAAAAGTTAGTTATCTATGGATGCTTAGTTTGTTGCTTGATCAAATTCTGTGTCTGACATAATTTTTACGGTTGATTGGCCAGTTAAAACAGCATTTGTATCTTATCACAGCAGATATCCTAACTAAATATGCACGCATGATGCAGGTGAATAATCTGTATAAAACAAGACCTTACGCTTGAGTAACTCTTGTTCATAAATAAATATATAGCTTATCTCATTTGATACATGCAAACTAAACCTGCACACAGCAATTTGTATGTTTTTGTATGATGCTTCAGATGCTAGATCTGACCTTAACTGACCCGGAAGGAAGTCAGCAAGCTCATTCTCAGATTATATCACAAATGACGTACAGTGCAAATTTGATGATTAGGTGCTCTTTAGAATTTTTCCTTATTATATTTTCTTTCTTTTTATTTTAATCAATTATTTTTTTGTAGATTATTTTCAGTGGGGGCTTATCTCTGTCAACAGGGTAAGAGTAATGCTTGTTCACATTGTTTTAAAAATCAGGTTTTCCCCATGCACAGCACAGGACTGAAAATTTAATGGATTACATCAGTGTACTTATAAAGCTAAATGGTCCTTTGAAAAACAAATTACACAAAACATCGATATAACAGGCATCTTCAAAGGGATAGGTTCTGTGATGTCTGTTGTTTACAAGTACGTCTACAGTTGACATATCGAATCATCTGAATAAACAACAGACAAGACGCCAGATTTAGAAACCGGCATTTTTAGATCACTTTATCCTTCTTTAGAATCACTTAATTTAGCTTTATTCTAAATTTGAAGAAGATAAGGATCAACATAAATGACGTTAAATATCAAGACATGTGACACAACAAAAGAACAGCTAAATATAGTTTTACGATCTCAATGGGACGGTATATTTTTATTCATGCTAACGAAATTCTGCAAAGTAATTTCGTATCTTTGACTGTTTATCTGGACGTCCCCAATCGTCAGTTCCTTTGATGACAAAAGCTTTATCGTATAGACATGTATCAGTTATGACTTCAAATTGATTTTATTTAAGATGAAGAAGATAGCATCGTCACAAGCTACAGATTTTAATCAGCTCCATCTCCTACAAACCTTGTTAACGGAATAAAATTCATAACCTCCGCAGGTGGAAAGACATGCCGAGATTGAACTTGGTGTAATTAGCGTATCTATGGATAAAGTGTATATAAGTCTACATTTTTAGTTTATTATGATGGTGATTCATATTTCTATGACTTGCGGTTTTCCTGCTTGCGTCTTGAAGCTTTCATCTATTGCGCGTTTTAGCAACACCCTATCAATTGTGGTTAATCGCTCACTAAATCCATTGATTGAAGTGAGAAAGCAAGGTATTTTCATTAAAATCACAGCTGATACCAGAATCAGAATCCTTAAATACTAGCTGAAATTTGGAGGGAGTGGGGGTTTTCAACAATTATAATATACTAGTTGACATGTATGCACCAATTTTCAACAGCATTTAACTGTTGGACAATATAGTCAAGGTTGAAAAACACGTGTCATTAAAAAATATAAATAACGTCAAGTTTAAAATACAGGAAAACGTCAGTCATACGTTGCACCGAACTCGGAAATTAGAAACTAAACATCTAAAGGGGAACCGTTCTTGTTTTAAACGACTTTCGACGGAGAAATGTCTTTTCATTTTCCACCAGGGAAACGTAAATACTTTCCAAGCTATACTCACTTCCACATTTCTAACATTACATGTACACGGATATATATCTTGTCCAGGCCCGTAGCAACTGTTTTAAAAAGGGGACAATTTTTCAAAGAAAAAAAAAACTGGCATGAGTTTTTTTTAATCCTATTTTGTGTGTTTGGGGGGGGGGGGATGGTGAGAGAAAGAGAGGAGAGGCTGTACGTGTACATAAATTGGCGTATTCAAAATTTAGCGCAAGCACTGGGTATGGAGTTGTTGGCGAAATCATGAATTAGCGCTATACATGTCCGTGCCGTATATTGTATTTATAGATGATTTCTTAGCGGTATTCATGAATTAGCGCATCGTTGTCTGCGTAAAAGCCGCTAAAATATAA